TTGACTCTAGAGTGCATATTTTGTGTCCATGAAAAAACTATTTACGATATTAAAGAACTGTTCTTGTTAATTTGATGAAAACGTTTTAAATACCCAGTGCACTCATATCAGAATAACGTACAGATTTGTTGTGAGAATAATCAATTAATCGAAAAAAATAATCGTTAGATTAATCGATTATAAAATAATCGTTTGGTACAGCACTAAATTCTACGCCTTTGCACAGCAGCGCAGGAAGAGTTTGTCAAATTAACAGGAGATTTATGGCATGCATTGAGAGATGGTGTGGCGTAGCTGCTGCGGCCGCCTCAGTTGGTCGTGATGCCCCCCCCCGCCCCCCGCTCAGCCGGCTGATAGCAGAGATGTTAGATGGGCAACACAAAATGGAGGAGGCAGCAGACACAAGCTCAGCTGGTCCATTAGGGGCATGTCTGTTTCCTGACAATCAGAATTGATATGACGGAGCATTGAGACCCCCACAGGAGGCCACAGCCGCTGATGCATAAAGGTGTGTGCATCTGTGTGTGCGTGCTGACCGAGGGAAAAGGCCTATGGGGGCAAAGGAGGGTCTCGTGGGGGAGGGGAAGGCAGGATTAGTAATAGAGTGCAGTATAGTTATTGGTCACTGGACACAAACAATGGGAGGGCTAAAGAGGATTTGGTCTGATTGTGTACCCCCTCCTCCTCCTCTCCCACTGTCTCGTAGTGCCAGTGCTATCCTACAAAGATCTGGGATGTACCCTTTGGGACGGCCCAGTACATCTGGAAGATCGGCCCGTCTGCCTGTCTGGCATGTGCCCCTCCCCCCTCGACTTCATAAAGAGTAGGGTTGGACATGAACTACATATGCAAGAGAGAAAACGTAGACACATTTGTCAATAGAACTAATGATGCAGACCTGTCATATCGAAGAAAAYCGATTGTGCAGCCAAGACTCTGTAAATGATATATACCCCACTGAAGTGTGAAAGGCTGATTGCATAACACCTGAGACATATTTTAACCTGCTGCCACATGGGCCTTGTCCACACAAAAGCAGGCCTTATAAAATCAATCTTTTTGTTGTTTGTTAAAATATCCCCACTCACGTCTTCTACACTTGCAAGCAAGGCACTGATTATAGAAATGTCTTCATGCAAAGGGATACACCGAAAACAACGCAAAACACTGGTGCTGCAACGCTGCCATGAAAAATACACCAAAACAGGAAACAAGGCATGGAGCATGTTTTAACTTTTTGTGTACTTTTTCTGAGACCGGCAGTCTCGTGTACAAGACAGACCTGTAAGCAGGCATTTAGGTAGGGTTGACACTTTAACCCCACTACCCACTTATGGAAGTTTACAAAATCCATATAGAGACCAAAAAGTTAAAAACAAACCAGTAGCGGAAATTGTTACAACAACAACTGAAGCTGTAACATCACTACCCACCACCTCTATCCAAGCTGGCACAATTTATTCTGTATCTTTCTCTCTTCTGATTCATAAATAATTACGGTTGCCCCCACCATCATTTACAGACGTTTATGAAATTTACGGGGGTAAAAAGGCAACTTACAGATGAAAATGTCTGTTAAATCTCTGTGAATCGAAAGATCGCCAGGATGCTCTGAGGGCGTCCTGAAGCGTTGCCAAGCCAAAGAAGACTTTGAAAAACAAAATGGGGTATTCTTACGATGCTCCAGTGCCCCTGTAGCTAAATGTCTGCCTGTAACATGCTCATGAAGAGAGGAAGAGGGAAGCCCTGGAGTTGAAGGTTAGATCAGAGGTGAGGTTGTGACATTATTGTTTTAAAAAAGATGTGTTTCGTCTGTCGATCTAGTGATAACTTAAAGATGGTATTTAAAGATATTGTCCCTTTTTGGAACTCGTTTTCAGAAAACACAATTTTGGGGCTCCTAAATGTCATTTCTGTGTAGAATTGAGGCTGAAATAATGAAAAACTTTTGCGTATTCACAAAATAGGTTTCTATGTTTGTCCCTAGCCTTCTAGTGAGCAAGTTTCTAAAATAACCTGAACTGACATCACACTGCTACACTTCATTTTGGCAGGTGTTATGCCAACTAAAGACTTCATATTCTTTACGATAACTCACACGAGATAACAAATGCATAGAATTGGTCAGTGTTGTGTAAAGAGGCGGATCAATATTAGGGTGGCACAATATATTAAAAAATGGTCAATCTGTTGATTAATGTCCATGACTGATTTGGATGATGTTGGACTAAAGCACATGGAGATTTTTCAGACCAACATGATTACAAAAGTTGCAATGGATATTATCATTGCAATATTTATCAGTAAAAACAGTTTGTTTTCTTAATGTTGTGCAGCCTAAATAAAATCAAAGCAATAATTGTTCTACGCTCATAGCATTTGATGGTGCGTACGTGATTCTCTTAGTTAGTCCCAGCGGGTTGAGTGACCTGTGCAGATTGGGTTTGTGTGATATAAAGAGTCGGGCATACTTGGCGAGGATGACTCAGGCGCTGCTAATAAGCGGATCCTGAGCAGAATGCTTCCTTTGTGTCTGTAAGATTTAATGAGTCTGCATTGGGCCCTCAGAACCCTGTGTTTGGGGCGCTCTTCAACAAGGAAGGCTATTGTGTGATGAAATAATGTTTGTGTACTTGTCAGTACTAGATTCTAATCTGTAGGTGGCAGTTTGCATCATGTTTCAAAAGATTTATAAGTCTTGTGTAGCGGAAAGAAGGCCGCTAAAGAGTTCAAGTGTTGTTGAATTACTGTAGTTATTTTTTATGACAAAATTCTGTTGATTAAACTTAACATTATTATTTACTCACTGGTCACTTTATAAGGTCTACTAATACCAGGTTGGACTTCATTTTGCTTTCAGAATTTTCTGTAATTCTTTCTGGATTAGGAGGTGCAACTTTCCTCAGGTTTTGGTCCATGTTAACACGATAACATCACACAGTTGCTGCAGACTTATCAGCTGTGCATCCATTAAGTGAATCTCTTGTTCCATCACAATTGGATTGAGATCTGATGAATGTGGAGACAGTTGGAGTCCAGTAAATCCAATTTCCAATTTACTGCCATGGTTTCCTGTTGTAGCTGACAGGAGTGGCACTTGAGGCGTGGTCTTCTGCTGTTATAGCTTCTCTGCTACAATATGTTCAGAGATGTTGTCACCTGTTGTTTGTAACAAATTGTTGTTTGAGCTGTTTTTCTATCATCTTCACCCAGTCTGACCCTTTTCTTCTGACTTTGACATGAACAAGGTACTTTTGTCTATACAAATTATTATTATTATTATTATTATTATTTTACTTTTTTGGACCATTCTTTGACAATGTTTTAATTCCAAAATTCAGGGTTTTGTGTCACACATCTTAATCCTAGTCGTAAAAGTGACAAAAACAAAGTTATTTTATTGCAGTGATTAATTTTACCTATAGAAAATGTTACATTTACATCACATCATGGATCACATATTGATCAGGTGCTGTTGCTGACTGATCCATGATGTGATGTAAATGTAACATTTTCTACATATAGATAAAATTAATCACTGCAATACAATAACTGTTTTTGTCACTTTTATGG